GTCTAGTCTCCAGAATGGTGAGAGAATAGATTTGTTTTAAGCCACCGAGTTTGTAGTATTTTGTTACAGTAGCCTTGGGAAACTAAGACAGCTGTTGTAAATCCATGGCTGATTCATGTCAATGTATGGCAAAAACCACTACAATATTGTAAAGCAATTAACCTCCAACTAATAAAAATAAATGAAAAACAAATTCTCTATTTTAACCCCCACAAGACGAAAATATTAGTATAATTCTGTGTAGTGAACATTCATTTATGTTGACCCATGTTTTGACTCTGTATTTTTTTCACTTCTTCCAACATCTCTGTGCATCCTTCTAGGATCATTCTCCTTCAAGCTGAAGTATTTTCTTAATGTCGTCTGTGGTTGATGAATTCTCTCAGTTTTTGTTGGCCTGAGAATATCTTTGTTTCATCTCATATTTTGAAGTTGATTTTTAATTGGTATAGAACTCTAGGATAATAGTTCTTTACAATTTTTTCAACATTTATATTGGAGTATAGTGATTAATAATGTTGCAATAGNTCTCTCAGTTTTTGTTGGCCTGAGAATATCTTTGTTTCATCTCATATTTTGAAGTTGATTTTTAATTGGTATAGAACTCTAGGATAATAGTTCTTTACAATTTTTTCAACATTTATATTGGAGTATAGTGATTAATAATGTTGCAATAGCTCCAGGTGCAGAGCAGAGTGACTCAGCCATACATTTCACATGTATCTTTCTATTTGAGGACAGTAGTTCTTTTAGCACATTAGCACACTGAAGATATCATTCCCTAGTCTTCAGATTTCATGTATTTGGTTTTCTAAAGTTTTATTATAATATAGAGCAATCTTTGAATTTGTGCTGCTTAGAAGTTATTTTTTCGTGATTCTGTGGCTTGATGTCTTTCATCAGGTTTTGAGACTTTTATCATTATTTCTTTAAATATAACTCTTGCCCCAATCTTACTCTCCTGTCTTTTTGGGACTCAAATGACAACTCTTGTCCTGTCTCTTTTTCAAACTTGCTTTGTTCTTCTTTTCCTTATTTTTCCTCCTCTATTCTTTCCTTCCTTCCTTCTTTCCTCCTAGATTTTGGAATATTTTCCACTCCACTTCATTTTCAACACTGCTTCTAAAATTCTCTTTTAAAATGCAGATAAAATTCTAAAAGATGCGTCTTTTAAAAACCTCCAGTGTCACCTGCTCTGTCCTTCATCAACATGCGCTAAACAATTACTATATGTCATGTGCTGTATTTAGTGCTATTTATGTAAATTAAAATATTTCAATTATACAATATAGTTTATGAATTAATATATTTGCAATTTTCTCAACTGAAGTCAAAGAAAACCTCTTAAAATTCTGATGTATATCTGTTAATAGCGAAAATTTAATGAATAGAAAATTTTAAAGGTATGTAATGAACAGAGGCCCTGAAAGCACTAAAGCAGTTGTCTTTTAAAATGATCATTACATGGGACTTCCCTGGGGGCCCAGTGGTTAAGAATCCACCTGTCAGTGCAGGGGACACAGGTTTGAACCCTGATCTGGAAAGATCCCACATGTGGCAGAATAGCTACGCCTGAACGTCACAACTACTGTGCCTGTGCTTAGGGCCTGTGAGCTGCAACTGCTGAGCCTAAGCACCCTAACGCCCATACTCTGCAACAAGAGACGCCACCGCAGGGACAGAAGCCACACAACAAGACGTCACACTGCCACAAACAGCAGCCTCCACCGGCCACAACTAGAAAACACCCCAGTGCAGCAACGAAGACCCAGCACAGTAAAAAATATAAGTACATAAATAAAACTTCAAAACTATCACTTTATAATATACAAATACCGTGCAATTTATGTTAAACAAAAAAAATTACTGAATAATCAATGTAAGTTGCCATCACTATAGAAAGGGGTATCAAGAAAATCTGAAGTCAAATTTCTTTGATAAATAAGTTGTTCAGAATAAGTGAAGGCTATCATTAATTGGAGAAAAACATGAAGGTACTTCTTAAAATCTCAAGTCTAAGTCATAAAGTACTAAATATGTGTGTCTACAAAATATATATGTATATTAAATGTGTATATATATATACACATATATATATGTATATAAACTTATTGATGAAAGAGCTTTTTACATTTCAGATCCAAGTCTCATACTTTATAGATGAAGTAACTCAGGCACAAAGACATAGGATACTTAATTTTATGAAATGGAATATATTCAGGAATTTACAGAATTTCCATCATTCCACTTCTAAAAGGCATTATTTTTGGGGGGTGCTATTTCTAGTATGTGTTAGCACACTAGCATGGTGGTTTTCATACTGAGTGTACAGAATCCTGTGATTCCAAGAAAGTGCCTCAGAGGTCACAGTGAAGGAGGAGAGAAGAAAATGGGTGGGACTTCCTGGTGGCCCAGAGGATAAGAATCCACCTGCCGGTGAAAAGACAGCCCTCAGATTGGGAGAAAATAATAGCAAATGAAGCAACAAAGGATTAATCTCAAAAATATACAAGCAACTCCTGCAGCTCAATTCCAGAAACATAAATGACCCAATCAAAAAATGGGCCAAAGAACTAAACAGACATTTCTCCAAAGAAGACAGATGGCTAGCAAACACATGAAAAGATGCTCAACATCACTCACGACATGGAACAACAGACTGGTTCCAAATAGGAAAAGAGTACATCAAGGCTGTATATTGTCACCCTGCTTATTTTTATGCAGAGTACATCATGAGAAACTCTGGGCTGGAAGAAGCACAAGCTGGAATCAAGATTGCCGGGAGNAATCCATGGCTGATTCATGTCAATGTATGGCAAAAACCACTACAATATTGTAAAGTAATTAGCCTCCAACTAATAAAAATAACTGAAAATAAAATCTACTGAAAAAAAAAAAAAAGAATCCACCTGCCAATGCAGGGGACATGGGTTCGATCCCTGGTCCAGGAAGATCTGACATGCCACAGGGCACTAAGCCCATGCATCACAACTACTGAGCCCGAGCACCCTAGAGCCCGAGCTCTGCACCAAGAGGAGCCATTGCAATGACAAGCCCGAGCACAACAATAAGAGAGTTGCCCCCATTCACTGAAACTAGAGAAAGCCCATGCATGGCAGCTAAGACCCAGCACAGCCAAATATTAACATAAATGAATAAATAAAAGAAGAAGATAGCTGTAGTGGGTAGTGGGAATCACTCTTCTTCAACTTGGATGGGTCTGTTTTCATCCATTTCATATACTGGGATTCTGCCCAGATTTCACTTAAAAAAGCATCTTTCTGCTAAATACGTTTGTAAATCATTATAACTTCTCCAGGATTTAGCTGCTATATGAAACCTTAGAATCTGGCACCGTACCTAAACAGTTCTTAATTATTTGGGAGCCTCTGGTGAACCTTGTGAACTTTCTTGCCAGAAAACATCACATAGGCTTATGTTGTTTTTTTTTTTTTTTCTCTCCAAGTTTAACAGATTCGTGGACTTCCTGAAGTCCATGAACAGATCCTGGGCTAATAACAACAACTCTAAAAGCTTTACCTAAAGGACTTATATAAGAAATTTCTGGTAGAAAAAAGAGTAAGAATTTGGGATTAATATTAGAATGTGTTCAGAAAAAGTGGATTTTTTTTTTTTTTTTTCACAGCTTAACTGATAGGACCCATTTATCCTGTCTCAGTCAGTTCAGTTGCTCAGTCGTGTCCGACTCTTTGTGACCCCATGAAGCGCAGCACTCCAGGCCTCCCTGTCCATCACCAACTCCCGGAGTTTACTCAAACTCATGTCCATCGAGTCGGTGATGCCATCCAGCCATCTCATCCTCTGTCGTCCCCTTCTCCTCCTGCCCCCAATCCCTCCCAGCATCAGGGTCTTTTCCAATGAGTCAACTCTTCGCATGAGGTGGCCAAAGTATTGGAGTTTCAGCTTCAGCATCAGTCCTTCCAATGAACACCCAGGACTGATCTCCTTTAGGATGGACTGGTTGGATCTCCTTGCAGTCCAAGGGACTCTCAAGAGTCTTCTCCAACACCACAGTTCAAAAGCATCAATTCTTCGGCGCTCAGCTTTCTTTATAGTCCAACTCTCACATCCATACATGACTACTGGAAAAACCATAGCCTTGACTAGATGGACCTTTGTTGGCAAAATATTGTCTCTGTTTTTTAATATGCTGTCTAGGTTGGTCATAGCTTTTCTTCCAAGGAGTAAGCATCTTTTAATTTCATGGCTGCAATCACCATCTGCAGTGCTTTTGGAGCCCAGAAAAATAAAGTTAGTCACTGTTTCCCCATCTATTTGCCATGAAGTGATAGGACCAGATGCCATGATCTTAGTTTTCTGAAAGTTGAGTTTTAAGCTAACTTTTTCACTCTCCTCTTTCACTTTCATCAAGAGGTATATCTGAGGTTATTGATATTTACCCTGTCTAATGAGAAACAAAATATACTTTCAACCACACTTAAGAATCCTATGTCCTCTTGTCATTCATGATATTCTCTTGATGATGCATTCAGACACCTGATGCAAAGAGTCAACTCAATGAAAAAGTCCCTGATGCTGGGAGAGATTGAAGGCCAAAGGAGAAGGGGTCAGCAGAGGATGAGATGGATAGATAGCATTACCCACTCATTGGACATGAATCTGAACAAATTGCAGAAGAGGATGGAGAGGGAAGCCTGGCATGCTGCAGTCCATGAGGTTTCAAAGAGTCAGACATGACTTAGCAACTGAACAACAACAACGATGACTCAGAAACTGTGCTAGAGCAGAAGTATTAGGTTGGCTAAAAGTTTGTTTGGGTTTTTCCATACCATTGCATGGAAAACCCGAATGGACATAAGTCAACAACCTCATGGTACTGACTTTAGAGGCCCTCTATTCTTGAGGCTATGAATAGTTTTTAACACTTAAGAGACTTTTACTACTTAGCCCATTTTTACTAGTTCTGCACACACACACACATCACTTACTCTCCACTGGAATATATCCCTTTGACCTACCTGGACTGGATCAGTCCGGGTTGACCTGGGCTGTCTGTTTAAGCAGTGTTCAGCCACGGAGGTGTTGTGAGCATTGGTCAGGGCACAGTAGGGGTGTGCAGGGACATTAGGACTGTGGCACCATGGGCTGCGAGTGGGGAAAAGGCTTGGTGGGATTTCTTTTTCTCTGTAAAAGAAAAATGGAGCCCAAATTGAACTCTAAAGTCACTTCATCCAGTGATGTGAGTAATGAGGCTCCATTAGAATGAAAGCATGTTCCAAGATCAGACAGCATGGCTTTTCCAGTCTTGTGGGCAGCACTGTTATTACATCAGCAGCATGTGACTACATATAAATAACATAAATCCTGTACTTTCAGCCACAGCCAGCCCTTGATCCAAGATGAAAGTTCTAGATGATGTGAATCTTCCTCCACCTAAGCACTATGAAAAGCATGATGACTTCCTCTCTGCACTGCTCCTTGGCCTGACCGCTAACAGCAGGGCTGTTATGAAATGAAACAACCGGAGGGGGTCTTAATATCAACTAGGAAATTGCCAGTCTTTATTTTCTCATGAGTGTGTCTCTGCTTCCTCTGTGTTTGTGTGTTTCAAAACATAAAAGCTCTTCTGCTTTTTATGGTCCCATTCAAAATAGGAGGGTGGTTTTTTTTTTGTCTTTATCGATTTATCTGTTCATCACATTGCCAAGCAGTCATTCCCACCTGTTCAACCCTTATTAATTGTGGGAAGGACTCAATTAAAAAAAAAATCAAGCAGACGTCCCTGGTGGCTCAGTGGTAATGAGTCTGCCTCCCAGTCCAGGGGACATGGATGCCATCCCTGATCTGGCAAGATGCCCCATGCCAAGGAGCAATTAAGCCAGTGTGACACAACTATTGAGCCTGTGCTCTCGAGCCTGGGAACAGAAAATACTGAGGCCATGTGCTGCAGCTACTGAAGCCCACGTGCCCTAGGACCCGCGCTCTGCAACAAGAGCAGCCGCCACCACGAGAAGCCTGGCACCACCACTAAGGAGTAGCCCCCGCTCTCCACCACTAGAGAAAAGTCTGAGCAGCAACAGTGACCCCGCACAGCCAAAAATGCACTAAAAAAAGAGCAACTTTCACCTCTTAAGAGAAGCTTGAACTTGTTCCACCTGCCATCTCGAGGACTCTCTCTTACACTGATCTCGTTTTTCTTTTGTTGTAGTTGCAACTGCTGGCCAGCGAAACATGTGCCTTTGAGGTGTTGTACTTATTATTGAGCATCTGTCAAATTCGATGTCAGTCTCTAATTTCTCCCACGCTTGCTTCCAGTGAATGGGAGTGTACCAGGCAACAGCCTAACAAAAACGATTCATTAATATTAAATACTATTTGAGTTAGGTTTTTTAAATGACATAGGCTTATTGCGGGCTTCCCAGATAGCTCAGTTGGTAAAGAATCTGCCTGCAATGCAGGAGACGCTGGTTTGATTCCTGGGTCGGGAAGATCTGCTGGAGAAGGGATAGGCTACCCACTCCAGTATTCTTGGGCTTCCCTTGTGGCTCAGCTGGTAAAGAATCTGCCTGAAACGCGGGAGACCTGGGTTTGATCCCTGGGTTGGGAAGATCCCCTGGAGAAGGGAAAGGTTACCTACTCCAGTATTCTGGGCTGGAGAATTCCATGGACTGTATAGTACATGGGGTCACAAAGAGTCAGACACGACTGAGCAACTTTCACTTCACTTCAGTTCAGACTTATTGCAATAAAATTTCAGTCAAACTGTAATGTCATTTATGTACTGTGAAATGATTAGTGAAACACACAATGAGGCTATAGTGAAACATCCTGCCTTAGTTTCCAACTCTGAAAATTTCAAGCTGCATCTCCTCAGGCAGGTTAGTCACTTACTCCCTTGGAATATGTCCTCATATGTAAAATGGGGAAGGTGGTGGCTATATGTTGGCGTTATAAGATTCAGTTAACCTACTGAATTTCATAATTAAAAGGAACTCTGCAAAAATATTAATAAGTTAAATTTTAATAGTTAATTATGTTTTGTATATCATATATTTATATAATAATTTATATATAAATTAAATGTAATATAAATATATATATATTAAATATGGGGCTTGCCTGGTGGCTCAGTGGTAGAGAATCCATCTGCAAGGCAGGAGATACAGGTTCAGTCCCTGGGTTGGCAAGATCCCTTGGAGAAGAAAGTGGCAACCCACCCTAGTATTCTTGCCTGGAGAATCCCATGGACAGAGGAGCCAGGAAGGCTAGAGTCCATGGGGTCGTAAAAGCATCAGACTTGACTCAGTGACTGAACAGCAACAATATTAAATATATTATATGTTAAATTAGTATAAATATAAAATATATATTAGAAAATGTAAATATGGACTTCCCTAGTGGCTCAGATGGTAAAGAATCCACCTTAGATGGTAAAGAATCTTCCTACAATTCAGGGTTTCATCTTCAAACCTGGATTTGACCCCTGGAGAATGGAATGGCTACTCACTGTAGTATTCTTGCCTGGAGAATTCTATGAACAGAAGAGCCTGGCGGGCTATAGTCTATAGGGTCACAAAGAGTCAGACGCAACTGAATGACTAGCATATACACACACAAACATATATAAATATATACATATATTATTTGAGATGGGAAAATGGGTGTTAAAGCTAAAGACATGAAGAGGAAACCACGTTCTCCAAGCTAGAATACTAGGTGGGCAGTTTGTTTTGGTTTCCTGAATATGTGGCACGTATACAACATATATGTGCAAAAATCATTCAGAAAAATCATGTGTAGGCACTGATAATTATGTCTTTGTTCAACAGAGAAAGTTAAGCACTGCAGTGTACCCAAATGAACTACTTGTTCTTGTGATCTGTTTTTAGTTTATAAAATTATAGATGCTTGGATTGATGTTGTATCCATTGAAAAACCCTCTGTTTGCCTTGATAAGTTAAACACACGTAAAGACAACACTGCAAGTTCAGCTAGGCAAAGAAAGAGAAAGATGAAAGATTTTTTTAAAAAATTTAAATTCATAGATCACAGCAGGAAACCCCACTTTTGGTTCAGGTCATCAGTTAAGGATTCTCCCCTTTTGCAGCTCAAATAGATATTTTTGTGGAAAATATGTTAATCATCTTTTGAGTGAAACCTCTCTCAATTAGATTGTACGCCTTTCCTAGCCAAGAGCAATATTTTATTTCTTCCTGTATTATAAGGGACTTAAAAATATCTACTGATAATGACAATGATAATGTGACCAAATAAATGATATATTTTAATCTCACTTCTGAAATGTTGACCATATGAACCTTATGGGCTATTTTTAGTACCTAACAGAAAAATTTTTGGAGTTGGAATGTCTGGTTTTATTTTACTTTTGCCATTTTGCCAGTCATGTGACCTTGAGAAAGCCATTTAACTTTCCAAGCCCCATTTTCTTCCTTCGTAAAATGATTAAATAATCTGAGAATCAAAGGAGATAATGCACATATAAACAGCCCTTGATGAGTTGCTACAGCACTGGAATTCACTGCTCCATATTTTCTCTGAGAACAATGTATTGGGAAAATTCAAGGCATTCAGTCATATGAGATGCCTATTAAATGTTTGACATGTAACATAGAGGCTACAAATCATATAGGATAACAATGTGGTTGGTGAAAAAAATCTAGCCTTGTTTAAACATCAATAGCCTCATAGAATCATAGTGATTGTACTATATAACCTTACATAAACTCATGACAGAGCAGGACTAAGTCTACCTTTATATTACACCAGAATGGTTTGTATCTGATTGAATATTAACCATTGTCAAGTTAGTGATGAGCCAAAAAAGTAGTCTGTCATACTTTATTTTAGGTTTCTATTTTTAGAGTTGGACACGACTTAGTGACTGAACAACCATATAACCTCTCTTTGCCACACTTTTTTTTTTTTTTTAAGTATTTTTCAAGTCCAGACTCAGAACCTATTCTAATCTATGTCATTGTCTACTATTTTTTTAGTCAGATTTTAGGTTCCGTAACTTTCCCCACAAGATATGAATTATTTTCAACACACAAGTTATATCAACAGAAAACAATTCCAGGATTGCAAAGAAAGCTTGGATCTGTTTGTTTTTCAGCATGTCTATGGGAATGTAGCAACCTATCATTTCAAGGAAAATTTGTCTGGCAACTGCAGATAGTGAGATCCAATATCGCTGAGGTGAGAACAGGAATTAATTGTTGTTTAAAAAAAAGGGGGAGTATTTTGTGCTTATATTAGGGTTTTTAGATTGACAATGTCACACCTCAGTGTATTTAATGGAAACATTTTCTATTTGAATTAAACAATGCTGATTGCTTTACCATGGGGTGGAAATTCCAATAGGATGTGACCTTAAAAAAAAAGGCTGAGCTGAAGCCTGAAGGGTGAGTAGGAATTAATAGGTAAGTAGAGGAAGAAAGAAAGAGTCTATGGAGAGGCAAAAGCATATGCAAAGGCCCCATGGCTTGAGGGAGCAATGAAGTACTGGAAAATGAGAGGCAACGGGGAAGTGTGAGTTAGAGAGGAGGAAAGGGGCAATACACTATGATTCAAGTCAACTGGGTGAACGTCTCTCATTTGCAGACTCAAATCAAGTGCTTTAAGCTCTCATGTTTTTCTTGATGCTCTCCTTTACAGGGCTGAATTCTCTAATCTGAGTTGCCACACTCTGTGAACCAACTTCTACTAAAGCATTGTTTCACAGTAATACAATTATTTATTGTTACATATCAATTTTTACTACCAGACTCATGAGTTTTCTGAGGACAAGAATCATGCAACAATTATGTTTGTTTCCCAGCTTCTAGCACAAAGCTTGGCAGATAATAAATATATGTAAACATTTCCTGTATGAATCCACCAGTTTCACTCTTATACTAGCAGACAAAATTACTTGTGTTTACATCACCCTGAAGAAATTGTCTGAACCTATATGTGCCAAGTAGATCAAACCAATCAGTAAAAGGAAAACTCAAAATGCCAAGTGTAATTCAGTAGCAAGGAGGGACAGTTCACTAAAATGTGCCTTACAGGAGCTCAGGGACCTTGTCTGTCTGGTTCAATACCCAGTGCCTGGGACACTGTATACACAAAGTGTCTGACTCTTTGTGACCCTGTGGACTGTAGCCCGCCAGGCTTCTCTCTCCACGGGATTCTCCAGGCAAGAATACTGGAGTGGGTTGCCATGTCCTCCTCCAGGGGATCTTCCCGGCCCAGGGATCAAACCCATGTCTTCCGCATTGCAGGCAGATTCTTTACCGTCTTGAGCTACCAGGGAAGCCCAGAATGTTTGCATAATGGCTAAATGGGTGGATAAATGTGGTGAAAGGTCTGAAACAAGAATGCCTTAGTCCTAACCTGAGTTCTGTTAATGATTTCTTATGAGGCTGAGTAAATAACTTAGATGACATAACCTTATTTTCCCTGTCAGTGACAACTACTGGAAGTATTATAGAATTCAGTTTGTGCCCATAGAAATATGAGACAATAAGTGAGTAAAGCCTGCAAATTACGTCTAAAGAGTGTTCATTCCATCTAATGCTAACTCTGTGTTCTCATAGAAAGACATTAAATGGCTCTTAATTAATTAGCAAGATCTACCCTGAAGGGATTTATTTAACTTACATGCAGAGTACATCATGAGAAATGCTGGGCTGGAAGAAGCACAAGCTGGAATCAAGATTGCCAGGAGAAATATCAATAACCTCAGATATGCAGATGACACCACCCTTATGGCAGAAAATGAAGATGAACTAAAAAGCCTCTTGATGAAAGTAAAAGAGGAGAGTGAAAAAGTTGACTTAAAGTTCAACATTCAGAAAACTAAGATCATGGCATCTGGTCCCATCACTTCATGGTAAATAGATCAGGAAACAGTGGAAACAGTGACAGACTTGATTTTTGGGGGCTCCAAAATCACTGCAGATGGTGATTGCAGCCATGAAATTAAAAGATGCTTACTCCTTGGAAGGAAAGTTATGACCAACCTAGATAGTATATTAAAAAGCAGAGACATTACTTTGCCAACAAAGGTCTGTCTAGTCAAGGCTACGGTTTTTCCAGTGGTCATGTATGGATGTGAGAGTTGGACTGTGAAGAAAGCTGAGCGCCGAAAAATTGATGCTTTTGAACTGTGGTGTTGGAGAAGACTCTTGAGAGTCCCTTGGACTGCAAGGAGATCCAACCAGTCCATCCTAAAGGAGATCAGTCCTGGGTGTTCATTGGAAGGACTGATGCTGAAGCTGAAACTCCAATACTTTGGCCACCTCATGCGAAGAGTTGACTCATTGGAAAAGACCCTGATGCTGGGACGGATTGGGGGCAGGAGGAGCAGGGGACGACAGAGGATGAGATAGCTGGATGGCATCACTGACTCGATGGGCATGAGTCTGAGTAAACTCCGGGAGTTGGTGATGGACAGGGAGGCCTGGCGTGCTGCGATTCATGGGGTCACAAAGAGTCAGACACGACTGAGTGACTGAACTGAACCAAACTGAACCCTGAAGGGATAGTCAGGTATAATGCAGCAAGAAAGAAACTCAGAAATAGATTTCGATCAATATATTGTGTGAATTAGTAATTATAGGACATAGTAACTTAGGCTTGGGGTTCGAAAAGGTAGAGATTAAAAAATCTAAAGAATGGCTTTGAGAAAGGAGTAAATTTTTTGTTGTGAAAAAGGATACCTTTATACTTTACTGGCATGTTTTGGGGTATATACTTAGGCTAATATTATACCAAAAAAAGGCAGAGTGAAAGTATAAAATTGCAGAATATTGGTAATGAGTTATACAGAGTTATTTCTTTTTTTTATTTTTTAATTGAAGGATAATTGCTTTACAGAATTTTGCTTTCTGTCAAACCTCAACACGAATCAGCCATAGGTATACATGTATCCCCTCCCTCCTGAATCATAGAGTTATTTCTAGTAGACTTAATTTTACGGTGAATAAAGTATAATGTGTGTGCGCTTAGTCACTCAGTCATGACCAACTCCTTCTACCCAGTGGACTCCTGTGTCCATGGGATTTTCCAAGCAAGAATACTGGGAGCGGGTTGCCATTTCCTCCTCCAGCAGATCTTCTCCACCCAGGGATTGAATTAGCATCTCTTGCGTCTCCTGCATTGTCAGGCAGATTGTTTATCAATAGCGCCACCTGGGAAGCCCGAATAAAGTATATAGTCTCTACAAGTTAGAGCCTATAGTCCTCTGAGAATAGGAATCTTGACCTGTATTATATTCCCAACATTTATCACACTTGTCACAGCCCTATTCCCAGGGCTCAACAAGCAATTGAGAAATGAAGAAACTAATAGAAAAAAGCCCACATGTAGTTCCTTCCTTTCTCATCCTTCTCTTCAGGAGAAGGCTAAATGCCATAAATAAAATCCATGCTTGATTCTGAAACTTGAAGTCACTTCTAGAAATACAGGATATCAAAATTATCTTTGCCACACTGTAAGCACCTCTTTGGCACTGAAGAGAGGCTGCTACTGATTTGCCTGACATGTTATGACAGTTAGTGATGGTTCTTTCCAAGCTTTTAAGGAAGAAAAACTCATTGAGCAAGCTAAGAGGGGAAAGGGGGACACACGCAGAGCTATCCGTTCTTATTAAAAACCATTATTAAGGACTGGACACTGACTTCACCGTTAGGTTTGCACAGGATTGTTGTACAGTTTGGGGCTGTGTTAAACCTGTCTTGTTCCTTCCAAAGAAAATCAGATGGTGACTGATGCTTTACTTCAGATGCTGCTGTCCAGACCTGTAAGAAAAGATTTTGTTAATGACAATTGCCAGTGGAGTCCAACGTAGTTTTATAACTGTAAGAGCTATTGCAACACATCTTTTAAACGGTGAGCTTTTTTTTTTTTAAGATTAAAAAAAATCTTTATTGAATTTGGCATAATGTTGCTTCTGTTTCATGTTTTGGTTTTTTGGCTTCAAGGTATGTGGGATCTTAGCTTCCCGATGAGGGATTGAACCCACACCCCCTGCATCGGAAGGTGAAATCTTAACTACTAGACCTCCAGGGAAGTCCCAGAGGTCTTTAAAATATACTGACATCCAAATCAGTCAATCCTAAGGGAAATCAGCCCTGAATACTTGTTGTAAAGACTGATGCTGAAGCTGAATTTCCAATACTTTGGCCACCTGATTCGAAGAGCCGGCTCATTGAAAAAGACCCTGATGCTGGGGGAAGACTGAAAGCAAAAGGAAAAGGGGCTGGCAGAGAATGAGATGGTTGGATGGCATCACCGATTGAATGGACACAAACTTGGGTGAACTCCGGGAAATAGTGAGGGGCAGGGAGGCCTGGTGTGCTGCAGTCCATGGGGTCACAAAGAGTCAGACATGACTTAACGACTGAACAACAACAATAATCTGTAACGTCAAGTAGTATAACTGCAAAGCTAGTGTATGTAGTTTAGAGGGATGCCTGAGAAAGAGGGAGGAGCTCTTTAGCATCACCTGAGCAAACCTTCTCTTTCCTTTCTTTTAAAGACTATGCTGCTTAGTTTTAAGAAATTAGATATTTCATTTTGATAGTTAAAGCATTAAAATACAAAGTATTGTACGCCAAATTGAAGAAAGCTACAGAAATTTAATTATGAGAATTTATTTTCAGAGATGGACAAAGTGACACAATTAACTAACAACAACCCAAAAATCACAGTTAACAGAAAGATCAAAGAAACCACCAGTTCTAACCACAGTCTGACTGGGGAAATGAAGTTTTTCCTGTACAATTCTAGTTCATAGTATTTATATATTATACTCACTGTTACTGTGGAATTGGCCTGCATTATGATACCAGGAAGGAATCGGTAGAGAGAGACTGCTCGTCCATCCACATTTTGTTGGAGCGTATGATTTCCAATTTCCAGCTCTTTGTCGGGAGAAGAGTTAATGAGCTTCACGAATAAACCCTTGACATTCACCTCAGCTATTTTAATGTCTCCAAGAGCACTAGCAAATAAAATGCAAAGATTATAAATTGCATTCAGAGGAGCCGGTCTTTAGCTCACTTTAAGAACAGAAAAATAAATATGCTTTGGAAGTTGTTGCTGAGCAGTGTAATCTGTTGGACAAATTCCATGTAGAAATAGTGTATTCAGTGCCCTAAGCAAATGGTGTGATTTCTTAGTTCTCCACGTTTATCTGTGGAAAAGAATTATTTTTACATAAAATACTTAAAGAAAAGTTTAAAAACTACTTCAAGGTAAAGATGGCATTGTTGGTGTTTAGTTGCTAAGTCATGTCCATCTCTTTCTGGACATGGATGGATGTAGCCCATGGGATTCTTCTGTCCCACCATCTTTGCCCATGGGATTTTAAGAATACTAGAGTGGTTTGCTATTTCCTTCTCCAAAGGATCTTCCTGACCCAGGGTCGAACCTGTGTCTCCTGCATTGCAAGGCAGATTCTTAACCACTGGGCCACCAGGGAAGCCCTAAAGATGCCATGCTGTGCCATGCTAAGTTGCTTCAGTCATGCCTGACTATGTGATGCTATGGACTGTAGCCCACCAGGCTTCTCTGTCCATGGGACTCTCCAGGCAAGAATACTGGAGTGGGTTGCCATGTCCTCCTCCAGGAGATCTTCCTGACCCAGGGATCAAACCTGCATCTCATTAAGTCTCCTTCACTGGCAGATAAGTTCTTTACCACTAGTGCTACCTATGAAGTCCAAAGATGCCATAGGGAGGTGTAATTATTATTATTTAAATTTCTTACTGTTCTTCACAAAACCACTGAGACATAAAACTCTCAGGTAGGTCAAGAGGAAAGTTAAACTATTTTATTTCTGATAAAGTTACTGTGAACATGAATAGCAACTATGTGCTTAAAAGAATTCTGCAAACTTAAAACAATATATAAATATAAGATGGTATTTCTTCTAATACATGTTGAGATCTTAGCATGTACCAGGGACCAGGGTAACCACTTATATATAAGCATTTTTCAAAGTGTGGGTCACAGCCTATTAGTACATCATGAGTTTCCTTTGGTGGGTTAGGGTCGTCATTTTTAAAATGAAACCAATCATATGAACCATACTTATGACATGCCAGGGACTTTTAAAATATTATATTTCTATATAGCTATAATTTCATTCCCATAATTTGAAAATCCAAAGCTATCTGAAATACCAAAAGTTTTCTTAAAAAAAAAAAAAAAGCCAAAAAAATATTTAAAGCAAAATTTGACTGAATTCCTTTAATGGCAGAATCTGATGTGAAACTGAGGCAAGGTTAGTTATAGTCTTCATTCATGCTTTGTGTGACTACTCATCAGTTTGACTGTGGAAAGATTACTGCTTGGTTTTGGATACTTCTCTCAGCCCTCTTGGGGGGTTATGTCATATGTGTTCTAGTCACTATATTACTTTCTTAAAGTCCTCCAAATTCTGACTTTGGAAACATGTATTTTGGTGAAGGTATTGTGGACTGGTACTTACTCATTTAATTGTCACAATAAGGCTACATATTTCTTATTGAAGATGACTGTCAAAAATTTGAGAAATACTGCAATCTCATTTAATTCTCACAACAACCCAGTGAGATAGGTACTATTTTTAATCCCACTTTATGGATAAGGAAGGGACTTCCCAGGTGGCACTAGTGGTAAAGAACCTGCCTGCCAATGCAGGAGACATATAAGAGACATGGGTTCAATCCCTTGGTTGGGAAGATTCTCTGGAGGAGGAAATGGCAACTCACTCCAGTATTCTTGCCTGGAGAATCCCATGGACAGGGGAGCCTGGTGGGCTATAGTCCATAGGGCTGAAAAAAGTCGGACATGACTGAAGTGACTTAGCATGCACGCACATAGATAAGCAAACAGATTTAGAGACATCAATTACCATGTCTAAGGTCATTCAATAAATGTTAGTGTTCGTTCTTCTTTTTCAGCTAGTAAATTCTCAAAGAGGTTTGGTCAAATCATTCAAAATTTTCAAATCTTGCATACAACGTGATGGTTGAGCACTGTTAGAACACACACACACACACACACACACGAGCACAGATTACTGACACCAGATGAATCAGTGGTCTCCAACCACACCTGGCTCCTTAGTCATGGGCAGCAAATTGTGATCGTGAACTGAGCCATCACATTCTGTCATTCCTTGAACAACGTTCAAATCCCGGCCTCATGTCTCCAGCTTTACTGCCAGAAAATGATCTAAGAAGATAGGGCCAGCAGAGAGAAGTGTGTTTTCCGCTTTCGCCTTAGAAAGAAGTTCACTCCTGCCCACAGGGACCTCTTCCTCCCAGCCACCTCTTCAGTGCAGGAGGAACCCTTCTCCATCGGAAGTGAAACCTGGCTTGCCACCGCCTCCGGCTGCTTTGGTGTTTCAGTCCCATTCCTTCTCTTCCTTTGACACTAACCTCTCCCTCAAACTGGCTCTCTCCCCCCAAGTATGTACATATCTGCCAAGTGCTACACCATTCGACACAGAAAAACACAATTCTCACCATCCTCTTCCACTTCACACTGCCATCACAACCCAGCCTTAGGAAAGACGACGTCACGAATTCATCTCTTACTCACTTCCTCAACCCACAACAGTGTATTTCTGCCTTAGAACAAGATGATCAATGCCTTCTCAGTTGGTGAACTAAGTGGTAATTTTTCAGTCTGTCTTTTTTAAAATTGAGGTATAATTGACATATAACATTATACTAATTTTGGCTATACAACATGATTCAATATTTGTACATAAAGGCAAAATGATCACGATAAGTCTAGTTAATGTTGATCACCATATATAGCTACAATTCTTTTTCTTGTGATAAAAACTTTTAAGATCTGCTCTCTTAAAAACTTTTGATACAATACAGTGTTACTGAATATTGACTATTGTCACCATGCTGTACATTATATTCCCATGACTTATTTGTTTTATGAATGGAAATTTGTGGCCCTCCTTTCCCCATTTTGTCACCCACTACTCCTGCTTTTGGCAACCAATCTATTCTCTCTATCAGTTCTTTTTTTTTTTAGGTTTCATTGGTAAGTGAGATCATATGGTATTTGTCTTTCTCTGGCTTACTCTACTTAGCATAATGCCCATAAGACCCATCCATGTTGTTGCAAATGGCAAATTTTAATTTTTTAATAGCTGAATAATATAGCATTTTATATTTATACCACATTTTATTTACTCATTCATTTTATTTATTTTATTTGCTACTACTACTACTGATTCATTTTATTTACTCATTTATTTACTCATCCATTGACGGACACTTAAGTTGTTTCTAGTTTCCTGGCTATTGTAAACAATACTGCAATGAACATGGTGGTGCATATACTTTTTCGAATTAGAGGTTTTGCTTTCTTTGGATAAATATACAAAAGGGGAACTGCTGGATTATATGATAGTTCTGTTTTTAATTTTTTGAGGGACTTCCACACTGTTTCCTATGGTGGCTAAATTTACATTCCCACCAACTCAATCTCTGTCTTAATGTCTCTGTGGTATTTGCCTCTGCCAGATTGTCTCTATTTGCCATGTTTCCCCAAGGTCACTATTTTCCTTCTACCAGTCTGGTTGTTCCTTTTTAGTCTCTTTTTCAGATTTCTCTTCCTTCACCCATCTCTCAGATGTTAGTCCCTGGGGTTCTGATCCTCTTATTCCATCACACTCTATACAAGAGATATCACACATGAACAGGGCTTTCAGTAACATTAACACACTGATGACTGCTAAATCTAAATCTGCTGAGCTTCAGATCCACAGAAACAACTGACCCCAAAGAAGAGAAGACACCAAAGGAACCTCTAAACCAACATGCCCCAGACTGAACTCATCATTTTAGAAAAGTAGGAACCCTACTCCAGTGAGTTTCATCATTATTCATCCCATCAGCCATGCCTGAGACTTCTGTTACTATCCTGGTCTCTTATCCTTCTTGCCTTATCTGTGACAACATTTTGTTAGTATTATTCTTTAGTATCTTCTCTATATATTTCCTTTTTTCCATCCTCACTGCTGCTGTCCTCATTATGTTCTCATTACTTCTGTGTCATATTGTAATGACGTCCCAACTGGTTTCTTCAGTCTTGCTCCCATCCCTCCTAACCATTCAACATTTTGCTTCTAGAGCAATCTTTGTACATACAAGAGTAAATCCTTCAAAGTCTGACCATTTCTTTCTAGGGAAAACACCAGTGTTACAGCATGGAAATAAGGTCCTAAGTAATCTATTAGCGTCTTTAGTTTCTTTCTTCCCTATTTCCTATTTTGCTTAAACTGTAACCCCAAGAATTTCTCACAATACTTGTAATAATTTATGTCATTGCATGCTTACCCATTGCCTATGCATGTTCTATTCCCTCTTCTTACTCCCCAACACTTGAAATTTTCAGATTTCTTAATACTTTCAGTATCATGGGCACAAAAAATCTCACTGTTATTTTAAATTGATTTCCCCTGATGGAAATCAATTGAATTCAGTTGAATAAGCTACTTATTGGCTACTCAGTTTTCTTCTGAAAATTGTCTTTTCATAAAATTTTGTCCATTTCAATAGAGATGTTTTCTATTTTTATGATTGATTTATAGCATAGCGTTTAAGTATACACACATTTTTAGAAGAAGAACTGTGTGTAATAATTGGGTATTATCCACGTTAAGTTGCTATGTTGGTAATAATTTGTTATGACAGCAAAAGAAAACTAACATACACTTACGAAGTTTAAAATCATTGTGCTAAGGCTTGCAAGTTTTGGTCCCAAAACCCTCACGAGAGATTTATTTTAGTGTCTTCTGTCTTGTATTTTTCTGTTGATAAACCAATAATCAACCTTTTTTGTTATTCCTTTGAAGATAAGTGTCCTTTTCCTCTGACTCTGTAAGATTTTCCTTACTTCTTCTGTTTGAGAAGTTTTTCTACAATATACCTAGGGTTTATCTACCCCCTGCTTCCGCCCCCCACCCCCCACCCCCACCATCTTCTC